CTGTGTGTGTGTGTGTGTGTGTGTGTGTGTGTGTGTGTGTGTGTGTGTGACATCCGGGGCCTCATCGTTCTGACTACAACAACATGTAGGGGACATGGCAGTGAGATGAGGCACTGGTCAAAACAAGAAGATCCAAGACTTCGTAATGTGTCCACCTGTGGGGCAATTGTGATCGACGTTTTTGGCTCAACGACACCTGTTATGTCCATTTTCTTAAAGTGTTGATCAAAGCAAGAAAACATGTGACTTTGCAATTTCCTAGGACATCAGAAGTTTAAATTTTGTCACCAAACTTTGACTAACTTTACCTTTGATACCAATACCAGTCAACCGCCACCTCTTTTAATCGCAAATATCTAAACTTCTATTCAAGGTACCAGAGTATTTCTTCCATCAAAAAAAAAGAAAAAAAAAGAAGTGTCAAGATGACACAAACAACTCAAGAATTCTACGAGCGGCTGATTCTCTCGTGATGTCAATATACCGGTGGTCTTGTTTACCGTCAGGGTTTCCCCTCTATCTTCATGACAAGAGAAGATGGCCACTTTTAAGCACAAGGGGGGCTATCCCGAAAAATGCTGTTTTGAGAAAATCGAAAGTAAAGTTTTTGCCCCTTGGTCAATTTCTTTAAAAGACAAGGAGAGTTTTCTCTATAACCAAACAAACATACTCACCATTGAAACCAAACTTCTTCTGTAGGTAGGGCAATGCCCACTTTTGGTGTAGGTCAAGATTTTTGGAAACCCTCGAAATCTGGGTTAGCCCTTGTTTCCTTAAAAACGACTAAATACAGTTACCTATGAAGATACTTGTTTACTTGTGTGAAGGGCCGACATCACTGCACAAGGGACATCCCCATAAGCGCTCCGTCCCCTGAAGAAGCACATCTCGAAGTGTGTATATGCTGACAGTTCTAAGCAATGGTTGATTCCATAGCCTTCTGCTCCTCCCACTCAGTCTTGAACTTCTGCAGGCGTCCCATCCAATTTCAAGCTCACGAAGTCGCTCAAGATGATGGTATTCCAACCCTTCTTGTTCTTTTTCTCGTGTTTCCCTGACTGAACGTACAATTTCATGTGTGTCAGGGCACAGCTTCCCTTCTGGTTTTGCTTTCCCAGCGAGATCATCAGCCCGCTCATTGCCCTTGACTCCAGCATGGCCCGGGGTGAAAATCCACGTGATCTTTTTCAGTGTTTGTTTCTTCCCCTATGAAGATGATTCACCAAAATGTATTACCGGGTTTTCCCTTTTCTCGCCATCAGTTCCAGCGACAGTGATAGCGAATCGGAACCGGAAATGAAAGCTCCGGAGCCCAAACCACGAAAGAAAAAGCGACGCTCCAAAAAACAGCGAGACAAAGATAATGAAAAGAAACTGTCGGTTGTGACAGAGAAAAAGCTGCCAGACGATGTCAAGGTGAAAGCCCTGTCGGTGAGTTGCCTAAGGGTTATCTGTAAAGTGTATGTGTCAAACTGTGTCTCTCTGTAAAGCGTATGTGTCAAGCTATAGATGTTATGGGAGTCTATAGAACTAGCGTAAGAACATATTGAAAACATCTCCCTTTTTTGCACGATTTCTTTGAATGCACTGTGCCCCACAAATGTGTTGTTTATATATTTTTCCCTTTCACGTATTCTATTCACTGTTTGGTGTTGTATTTTTCCTTATATAGATTTTTTAAAAACAAAATTCCCTTCCCTGTCGCAAACGTTAAATAACCAGAAAATAATAATTTATTGCTGGTCCAGTTTAAAACATGTGTATTATTTACACTTCAAACATTGAACCGTATGTATTTATTTCGTTTACACATAATTTTCTCACCTTTCATTGACCTGGTAAAGGGTATTCTTGCTCTTAAGTACTTTACCTCACAACTTTCACAACTTTCACAACTTTCACAACTGACAAAATACCACAAGTTGTAAACTCTCGCAAGTATTAACAGTCCTAAACTTTCCTGTCGTTAATACTTTTAAGTGGGTGATAACCGGTCAGACCGTCAGAAGATAAAACAAGTATTACATATTTCCTTGACCCCAGAGAAAGAACATGGTGAGTAGAAGAAGACTTTTTGTCATTCTGAGAAAAGTGTCCAAGCTGACTTCTGTTCTTGAAAAGATTACAAAAGAGATGCGACTTACTTTTTGTACAATTTGAAATTAACACGAAGCAAGCAATTTGAAGTTTGTTGGAATGATGTTATATGATATTTTATTCACACTGCATTCAGCAACAACAGCAATAATAACAACAACAGCAGTAATAACAATAGTAGCATCACCACCAACAGCAAAAACAACAACAGCAACAACAACAACAACAGCAACAGCAGCAGCAACAAAAACGACAACAACAGCAATTGTGGAAACACCTGTATATTGGGAGAGCAGATAAAGTGCTGTAAGAAATTTCTTCAAAGGTAGTACGTCTACTGTGGCTACATTTCTTAGCTGTTCAATACAGAGACACGTTTTGACACAGGCAGTTCAATACAGAGACACGTTTTGACACAGGCAGTTCAATACAGAGACACGTTTTGACACAGGCA